GGAATAAACCAGTGGATGGAAGACCTTTCTCTCTGTCTCTCCTTCTATCTGTCTGTAGCTCTACCTCTCAAATAAATAAATAAATAAAATCTTTTTTGTTTTTTTTTTTTTGACAGGCAGAGTGGACAGTGAGAGAGAGAGATAGAGATAAAGGTCTTTCTTTGCCGTTGGTTCACCCTCCAATGGCCACCACGGCTGGCGCACTGCGGCCGGCGCACCGCGCTGATCCGAAGCCAGGAGCCAGGTGCTTCTCCTGGTCTCCCATGGGGTGCAGGGCCCAAGCACTTGGGCCATCCTCCACTGCACTCCCTGGCCATGGCAGAGAGCTGGCCTGGAAGAGAGGCCACCGGGACAGAATCCGGCGCCCCGACCGGGACTAGAACCCGGTGTGCCGGCGCCACTAGGCGGAGGATTAGCCTATTGAGCCGCAGCGCCGGCCCAAATAAATAAAATCTTAAAAAGAAGACACTAATATTCCATATCTGAGTGTCCCACCTCCAACCCCCCACTTCTGCTGGGAGGCACCAGTGACGGATCAGGTAATTAGATCTTTATCACCCACATGGGAGACCTGAATGAAGTTCTCAGCTACTGGTTTCCATCCTGGCCCAGCTTTTGCCATTCCACAATTGCATTTTGTGAATGAACCAGAGATTGCAAGCTCTCTCTGCCTATCTGTTTCTACCTCTCTTTCTCTCAGATAAATAAATCAAGATTTAAAAAATGGTTGCCATAGAGGCTGGCATCTGGTGCAATGGTAACGTACCATTTGGGACATGCACATTCCCATAATAGAGTGCATAGGTTTGAGTCCTGTCTCAGCTTCCAGGTCCAGCTTCCTGCTGATGTGTACTCTGCGAGGCAGCAGTCGATGGGTTAAGTACGTGGGTCTGTGCCATCCACATGGAAACCTGCACTGAATTCTCAGCTTCTGGCTTTAACATGGTCCAGTCCCGGCTATTGTGGGTAACTGGGGGAATAAACCAGATGAGGAAAGACCTGTGTGTGTGTGTGTGTGTGTGTGTGTGTGTCTGCCTTTCAATTAGACAAAAAGAATTTTTATAATGATTGCTTTAGTCAGGTAGGAATTTCAAAATCTTAATCTTTCCAAGGAAGTCCCAATTTTCCCCCTTTTAGGTTAAATATTCGAATTAAACTGGCCATAGATTAACAAGCAGAAAAGCATATAGATTTATTTACATGCCAGTGTATAAGGGAGCCATGCAAAACACGTAACTCCAAGAAGGGCCAGAAGGTTGAAGCTTAATACCCTTTTCACAGGGAGAGGGAAGTTGGGGCTTAAGATACTTTTGAGGGGGAGTAAATTGTGGGGTGGGGGGATGAGTCCAGAGAATGGACAATGGCCTTGGGCAAAGTTCCTCTGGGCACTGAGTGTGGTTTGGATGGCTTTGATTTTCAGTCTTTTCCTCCAGGATATGAGTTTTCTCTTCCTTGGTTAATGAAATTTCAATGAAATTGGAAGGCAGTTGTGCCCCTCCTGGGTCATTCTGTCTCGGGTTTGATAAGGGAAATTCAGAGAAAGCCCTTCTTTGCATTTGCTGCTTCTGGGTTCTGTCGGTGTGGAGTTCAAAGTGGAGTATTAGGGGGTATTCTTTGCTGAGCTTCAATGTCTTTTAAACTTTGAAATATACATGTAGGGGCTGGGGCTGTGGCATAGCAGGTAAAGCCACCACCTGCAGCACCGGCATCCCACATGAGCGCCGGATCAAGTCCCGACTGCTCCACTTCCTATTCAGCTCTCTGCTATGGCCTGGGAAAGCAGTGAAAGATGGCCCAAGTCCTTGGGCCTCTGCACCCACTTGGGAGACCCAAAAGTAGCTTGTGGCTCCTGACTTCGGATCAGCGCAGCTCTGGCCATTGCAGCCTCCTAGGGAGTAAACCAGCAGGTGGAAGACCTCTCTCTCTCTCTCTCTCTTCCTCTGTAACTCTGACTTTCAAATAAATAAATACATCTTTAAAAAATACATACATGTGACTTTCTCCCTCTCTAACTTTGCAGTAGAAACTTTCTTCTTGTCTTATATGATAAATAAGAAAAGTTAGATTTATGGATCCTCACTAAATAAAAATATAAAATTTGCATTGTTAACTTGCAAACACACACATGTGCATTCATTTGTGAACATTGGTGATAAGGCCAGCACCATTCCTTAGTTTTGAGGACACTTGGGAGTTCTGCATTATCTTTCTTTTCAATTTTATTTATTTGAGAAGCAGACAGATCAAGGAAAAGACACAGACAGACAAAGAGAGCTCTCATTTGCTGGTTCACTCCCTAAATGCCTGTAAGGGCTGGTGCTGGGCCAGGGCCAAAGCTGGAGCCAGAAACTCAATTCAGATTTTCCGTGCAGGTTGTAGGAGCCCAAGTACTTGAGCCATCACCCATGCCTTCCAGAACCTGCATGAGCAGGAAGCTGGATTGGGAGCTGGAGGCACCCGAAGCAGCATGCAGCCGTCATAACTGACGTATTCACCTGTAGGCTAAAGCCTGTCCCTGCATTGTCTGTCATGTCTGCACATGAACCACGGTCATAATATTTTAATATTTATATTTTTATTAATTTTATTATTATTTTATTTTTATTTTATTTTATTATTATTTTTATTAATATTAGGTTAGGGTTATTAATTTACTAATATTAATATATTTAATATTTATAATTTCCAGGGTGCTTTTATAGAGTAAGATCTCAAATCAAAATCAATGAAATAATGAGATCAGAATCCCTTTGTATTTTTTCTAAAATTTATGGTTCTCCTATATCTTCAAAGCATTTAGCTTCATTTTTATTAGAGAAAAATCTCTAAATTCATTACTCCCTGCGTTTAATTAAAGTAGATAATTATAACTAAGAACAACGGACAGGCAGGTTTGCAAACAAATTTAACTGCCTCCACGGAAGCACCCAACTTGGCCAACATTAACAGGACGCGGGTTACAGTTACTAGGCTCGGAAAGAGAGTTGAAAGCTGGGAGTTCACGGTGAGCAAGAGTGCCCTGGAAAGACACAGGGAGAGTTTACGTGTGTTTGAGTGATTGTACAGCATATGGGGTGCACTGGAGATGAAGGGGGTGCACACTACAAACAAATCTAATCCCCGCCGGGGATGTGCATAGGAAAAGCCATTCAACCTCTTGCTGGCTCAGTTTTGTTATCTATGAAAAGTCAAGTGTAAACTAGAATAAAACCATGTGGGCTAATTCACCTCAAAAGTCAATAGCTTCTTTCACTGTTCTCTTTTCCTTTGTAGAATGACTCAAATTATAATCAATAAGCATTGATCAGATATACAGCAGCAATGATAGTGTTGCAATTAAGCCAACACTTTTTAATTCATTTCCTAGCTCTGGGTTGGAAATTGGGGGGTGGAAACCATTGCCCAAGGCCTTTGAGTGCTTATCAGTGGCTTAGGACACTGCATCAATGGACAGTGCATCAATGGACAGTGTGTCAATGACAGTGTGTCAATAGACAGTGTGTCAATGACAGTGTGTCAATGGACAGTGCGTCAATGTCTGGGCGATGAGGCTACAGAAAGAAAGCCTGCAGGGACTCCTGATGGCTCAGCCTCACTCCTGGCCCCCACTGCTAATCCTGCAGAAGAGGAACAGGCATTGAGCAGCGATTCTAGGAGGAGGCATTTTCACATTTGCTCTGAGCTGGGCAGGTGGGGGCCCTTCCTTGGAGCTTGGAGAATGGAAGTCAAGGGGGTGCTCCAGCCTTCTTCCTTGGGCAAAGTCCTCGTCCCTCACCCCCATCACAATGTCCCTTGGTCATACAGTACATGGGTTGAAGTGGATTCTGAATCTCTGGCCAAGCTTTCTAAAAAGATATTTATGCTTCCTGTTCTTAATTGTAAAATCGGTTGAGTGTGACTTCTTACATATCTTTCCTTTTACAAAACCAAATCAAACCATAAAAAAATGGAATTTCATTCCTTTTATATCCCCACGTGGTGATTGTGGTTTCTTTTATACAAGGGCAGGTGCCCTTATTGGAAAACTATCCCAATTCCTGTTTAAAGAAAAAAAATATGAGAATGTCCCAAGCATCACAGCCTGAAGTATCAATGAAAGTAGATAAGAGGGCAAACTATAGATGGAGCTTTAAATTTTCTAGCATCCATATTATGAAACAGAAAAAAGAAACAGGTGAAATTAATTTAGTCACTTGTTTTATGCTTAACCCAACATATCCAAAAACATTCCCATTTCAACATGTAATAAATATTAAAAACTATTGACATATTTTCCTTTTTTTATATTAGGTCTTTGCAATCCAGTGTGTATAAGAATAAATCTTGTTGAGCAGTGGCTGGCTTTAGTCCTGCCACTTATTCCTGCCTCAGGAGAGCTTCAACTTGCAGAGAGCCCGGACAGTGAATTGAAACAAAACTATCTCATCTTATTAATTCCAGCTTCAACTTCTTGAAAAAATCTATTTATTGAAGTGTGAATTATCACCAGACATTATCTAAAAGTGAAAACTTTGATGCTGTCTTTTAATTTTTTGGAAATTTTAATTTATTTATCTGAGATGTGGAGAGAAAAAGAGAGAGATGAGAGAGAGAGAGGGAGAGGGAGAGATCCTATCTCTTGGTTCACTCACCAAAACACACAATAACAGCTGGGGTTGGACCAGGCCAAAGCCAGGAGCCCAGAACTCAATGCAGGTCTCCAATATGTTGGAGGAACCAAACTATTCAAACCATCACTGCTGCCCCCCGAGGTCTGCATTAGCAGGAACCAGGAGTCAGGAGCTGGAACTGGAAACTGAACCCAGGCAAATAACGTGAGACACAAACACCTTGACTGCCATTTTAACCACTAGGCCAAACCGCAGCCCCGAATGCCATCCCTTTCAGTGTCCCCAAACATGCACAGAGCACTCAATAATTTTATAGCACTGCTGCCCATTGATACAAGCCCAGCTAGTAGGCAGAACTTGCAAGGTCAAGAAATGACACTCGCTTCTTACCCATGGATGATGGTGACAGCAACCCCCAATAGCTTTTCTCAACTTCATTGTCGCTGATTCCCTGATTACTGGTGGAACTTCCTCTCTTGGCAAACTCTAGGTGGATCCCATAAATCTAGTACCTGTACATGTCCACCCATTATGACATCATATCTTTGTTATAGGGTTTTCACAAGCTGAAACACACACACACACACACACACACAATTTCACCATGATTCAATATGTTGCTTCTTCCACGAGCCTAGGATTTCAGAACAGAGAACATTCCTCACTGTTCAGTGTCTAACTGAGCCCAAGCAGCAAGGCCTGGAGAACTCTTGGTGCCGCAAGCCTCATCCTTGGAGAAAGGAGGTTGTGCCCTGTTCATTTACCTTCTACCCTTACATGTCAAATACTTTCCTTAAAACATTTATTTATTTATTCGAAAGGCAGAACAGCCGAAAGAGCAACTGAGAGACCCTCTGTCTGCTAGTTCATGCCCGAAACACCCACATTTGCCAGGGTTGGGCCAGGCCAAAGCCTGGAACAAGGAAGCCCATTTATATGAATTCATGTAAATGTGGTAGGGACTCAAGTACTTAAGCCATTATTTGCTGCCTCCCAGGCATTAACAGGAAGATGGATTGGAAGCAGATGCCAAGGCCTGGACCAGGCGCTCTCACCTGGGATACTGGCACCCAAATAGCAGCTTCTCTATTTTTCTGTTTTAGAGAAGTTTATGCTTCTCTTTATGTGCACCTGCTTTTTTTTTCTTTTTTCTTTCCTTCTTTTTTTCTCTAAAGATTTATTTAATTTGAAAGGCAAGTCACAGAGAGAGAGAGGAAGAGACACAGAGAGAGACATCTTCCATCTATTGGCTCACTCCCCAAATGGCCCCAATGGCTGAGGCTGGACCAGGCCAAAACCAGGAGCCAGGAGCTTTGTCCAGGTCTCCTATGGAGGCGCAGGGGCCCAAGCACTTGGACCATCATCTGCTGCTTTCTCAAACCATTAGCAGAGAGCTGGATCAGAAGTGAAGCAGCCGGGACTTGAACCAGTGGCCATATGGGATGTCTACGCTGCAGACAGCAGTTTAACCTGTTGCACCATAGAACCAGCCCTGTGTACTTTCTTAAAAGCATCTTCCAGGTCCCTGCCACCCATTAGGGACACCCAGATGGAGTTCTGTGCTCCAGGCTTTGGCCCGGTCCATCCCCATATGTTGCAGGCATTTGGAGAACTAACCAGCAGATGGAACTTCTCCCTCCCTCCCTCCCTCCCTCTCTGGCTCCTTGCTCCTTTTCACCAGCCTTACCCACTTTACCTTTCTTTTTTTATTATTTGACAGGTAGAGTTATAGACAGTGAGAGAGAGAGAGAGAGACAGAGAGAAAAGTCTTCCTTCCATTGATTCACCCTACAAATGGCCACCACAGCTGGAGCTGCGCTGATCCAAAGCCAGGAGCCAGGTGCTTCCTCCTGGTCTCCCACGTGAATGCAGGGCCCAAGCACGTGGGCCATCCTCCACTGCACTCCCGGGCCACAGCGGAGAGCTAGACTGGAAGAGGAGCAACCAGGACTAGAACCTGGCGCCCATATGGGATGCCGGCGCTGCAGGTGGAAGATTAACCAGGTGAGTCACGGCACAGGCCCCTACTTTACCTTTCAAATAAAGCAATTTTTTTTTAAAACAGCATTTTCTAGCCACTTGTGCATATTAATTTTTAAAACGATGAAAGAAGAAAGGCGAGAGAAAGCGAGAGAAAGAGGAAGGAAGGAAGGAAGGGCAGGAGGGAGGGAGGAAAGAGCTACACCCTGCTATCTTCACAGGAATACAAGACAGGGTACAGATTTTGAAGCCCAGCAAATCCGGGTTGAAATCCCAGCTCTGTTGTGATGTATTTGGGACCTTGACCACACATCCTAATTCCTCAGAGTCCTGGTTCTTTCAGTTATAGAACTGGGGGGTGGGGGAGAAGAGAGAGAGAGAAAGAGGACAGGAAGAATAGATCATTGCTGGGGGGAGGGGCTTAGCAACAACATAAGGAAGTAGCTAGTAGGATTCCTGTCATAAATATTCAAAAAGTGGTTATTGTCACTCTCATCACAAGTGAGTACCAGTTGATCTACCTTCCCTGAAGTGACCATATCTTGTTTTGCAGGTTCACCAGGGCTTTGTGTCTCTCACGTGACCTTCTTGGCCACACCGATTGCAATGCTGGTGTGCATGACACTGGCCATATGCCAGCTGGGTGACAGTAGATTCCTCCCCCCGCCCCCGCCCCCGCCAGCCCTTGTCGCTTGCTTGTTTTTTTGCACAGTAGCTCAATGGCTGTTTATTGTCCCCAGCAAGTCCCTCACTTTTCCCAGGGTGAGCAGCAAGAAGTGGGCGATGAGCGTGCAAGCCACAACCCCGCGAGTTCATTTGGAGACGCATGGAGCCACATGTGAGCACGAGGAAGAGGTGAGGCGGAGATGGAAGGGAGGCGGTAGATGGAGAAGAAGCCAGCCAGCTGTCCTCAGATTGCAATCAGCCAGGCCAGTGTGCGGAGTGTGAACTGGTCCACCCAGGGGCAGCAGGAGATTCTGTCCACAGTTCCACTAGGGCGAGCCCAGCACAGGTGAGCACAAAATCGCTCTCCCCAGACGCAGAAGCCGATCTGCATGGAGCAGAGGCACAGCCGAAGGCACTTCCCACGGATCCTTGCTTCATCCGTATCCAGCACCGACCTGTGTGAAGGGGATGGGCAAGGAGGAGTACAGGAGAGGCCCCAGGGACAGACAGATGCCACCTCCACAGCCTGGAGGGCATGCAAGCAAACCTGGCCCACCGTAGGCACACACGAGGTTTGGGTACCGAGACTGGGCTGGAACATTCTGTCAAGCGGGCCAACCTTGCAACTCGCTCCGTCCTGGTCTCGGGTCACTCTGTGCGCAGCACGCCTTGTTCTTGGCTGAACTCTCCAGAATGGCTGAGAGCAGACTCCACAGGGGGAAGAGATAGGGTGCTATGTGAATGTTTTCCACATTACTTGTATCTGAGTAACCAAAATGCACTATCAGTAGGTGATCTCCTCCCTAAAGGTATTTCATTGTTTTCTAGGTCTTTAGATAACAATCAGAATTTTTTTTAAATGTGGGGGCTGGCATTTGGCCTAGTGGTTAAGACACTACTGGTTAATGGGGCTGGCGCTATGGTGTAGTGGGTAAAGCCATCACCTGCAGTGCCGGCATCCCAGATGGGCGCTGGTTCAAGTCCCAGATGCTCCACTTCCAATCCAGCTCTCTGCTGTGGCCTGGGAAAGCAGTGGAAGATGACCCAAGTCCTTGTGTCCCTGCAGCCACATGGGAGATCTGGAAGAAGCTCCTGGCTCCTGGTTTCAGATTGGCACAGTTCCAGCCATTGCGGCCATGTAGGGAGTGAACCAGCAGATGGAAGATCTCTCTCTCTCTCTCCTCTTCCTTCTCCTCCTCTTCCCCTTCCTCCTTTATGTGTATAACTCTGACTTTGAAATAAACAAATATTAAAAAAAAATAAAGACACTAGTTAAGACACTGGTGAGGATTCCCCGCATCTCATCTCAGAGAACTTGGGTTCCATCTCTCGCTCGGGGCCATGATTCCAGCTTCCTGCTGAGGCAAATCCTAGGAGGCCACAGTGATGGTTAAGGAACTGGGTTCCTGCCACCCACATGGGGGACCTGGGTTGAGTTCCTGGCCCCTGGCTCTGGTCATCACAAACATTTTAGGGAGTGAACCAACAAAGGACAGTTAGTTGTCTCAATTCCTTTTTTTTTAAGCACATATTTAAGACACAGTAGTACTGGAAGCCAGGAAATCAAGTGTGTGGATATTAAATTAACTACTTGTGGGTACAGACATTGAAAAACAGTGTTAGTCTCACAGCTGAACCACCTGTCTCATTCCTACAGGGAACAAGAGAGCAGCAGAGAGAGCTGGGAACAGCAGAAGCTCCAGTTACGGTCACACGTGGCAAAAGGAACGTATTTTAGGATGGACAAGAAATTTCCAGTTTTACGCACATCTTCGCATGACTTCCCATTTCAGCAACAGTGGGAAACTTTTCAAGCTCTTATGTGGGATCTTTGGCCAGAAATAAACTTTCTGTTCACAAGTGAATTTTCTATTTCCAGACCTGAGGCTTTATAGGTCAAGTCATAGGATAACGCGTCTGTGGACTCGGAAATGTACGGGAATCTGTGTGGCTTCAAAACATGCACACACACACAATAAAGAAATTAACATTTCTGCTTCATGATGGGACATCAAACAAAAGGCCAAAAACGTTTTGAGTGATGGATTCACAGCAGGGGCTGGGGTTGGGGTTGGGGGATGAAGAGGGAAGATCTAAAACACAACAAAGAAAAAAAAATCCTGCACATGTTCTCATTTTGCAAAGTGCTGAAATTCCCCCAAAGGTTGAATTCTGGTGTGTGTGTGTGTGTGTGTACGCATGTGCATGCGCACGCATGCGCATCTGATAGGATTCAAGAATTCCACCCTGAAAGCCAGGTTAACAGCACCTCCCCCAAGGGTATGCACCAGTTTGGGGAGCAGTTCTGCCATCATTAATAAGACCTGCACTCGGCAGGGTTCACCTGAACAGCAGTGAGCCACCTGCACTGGCCCCTGTCCAAACACCCCATCAGTTCGCCTGTGCGAGTTCTTGTCTCTTCACGGTCATATTGGCTTTCTGCACACATGAGACAGGAAGTGCAAACCAGAAAAGAAAGGATCCCTTGTGAAATGAGCTAAGATTTTCCTTTACTTTAAATTTAGAGGGAAGCCAGAGCCCCAGGACCCACAGCCCAGTGGAGCCAGAGAGCTTGCCCTTGTTCCCAAAGGCGGATGACAGAACTTCTAATTTCCCCTCTCAGAGGGGAGGCTGATTTTAAATTGTATGTATCTCAAGTCTCCTAGGACATATTTCTCTCCCTGGAACATATTTGAGGGCTCCCATGGGTCCTCCGGGACCACAAGGACTTTGCCAGAAATGGTTGCTCTCCGGATTGAAGCCAAAAGGCACAGTTTCCTAAATCTGTAGCAGCTTCCGAGGGTGGGAGCTGGGGACAGGACAATCCGAGAGTGCAGGGCTACCAGGAACCTGGGAGACAGGGGGACTTGGACTCGGTGTATGTGATGTGACAGGC